TTTTGCTGATTTATACAGGTAATCAATATTTTCTACAGAAAATGTAATTTTTTATAGAGGTTTTAGATAAATATATACAATTGTTTATTTGTTTTCATGAACATTTTCACTGTCATATGCTTTTCGATAGTTTTATTTATATTTTTTTTCTTCTAATTTTTTTATTAATATTTACAGAACATCTTTCATCATTAATTTAAAGGTCATCCGCAGAATTTTTAATTTTTTCAATACTTTTTATGGGTTAGTGACACCTTTCTAGCTAACCGTAAGTTGTCATCAGTAAATCTGCGAGTAAGGTTGTCTTTTTTTTCCTTTGAAAAAATAAGAAAACAATAGCCATTGGAAATTTGTTGCTAAGTCTGTGAATTATTTCTTTAGCCATAGTTGTTTTTTTATGGTAGTGAAGCTCAATTAATTGTTTGACGAAATTTGAGCTCCTGAAAATGTATATATGTGTGATATGAAAAACTCGAACGATGACAATGAAGTCATAAAACTGGATCTAGAGTTCTTTTGTTTACCATCATTTGCAAAACTTTCAAACGATGACAATAATTAATGCACATCAAGAAAATTCAAACTCTTGTTGGGAAATATTTAAAGTCAACTAATTATAATAAGAATTAATGTACAAATATTTATTAACATTTATAATAATCCACTTAGTTCCTAATATGTTGTATGTGTGTTAAAAAAAAAAAAAAATCAAATTTCTTCCTGTATTTTTATTTTTATTTCCAACTTCTACTATCTATTGAAATATATTCGGTATCTTGGTGCATGTAGTTGTTTTCAAGATGTCACGTGTTGATAATATTTTCGTTCATTTCAGTCAGGTACTTGAAAATCAAGGTAACGATTAAATTTGATTGAATCTATTAGCTCAAAGGGATAGAAGTTGTTTTCATCAAGTTGCAAAAAAGGTACGCATCTCTACTCTAGTTCAAAATTTCATCGCAAGTGTTTGTTGTTATGTACTAGTTATCGATAGAAATTGACTATAAAATTACATCGGGAATCAATGTTTGATAACAAAAGGTATATTTGGTTAAACTTATTTTGTCATTAATAAAATTAACCTGAATGTGGCGACTGGTCAATCAAATAATAGAAACTATCCAAAACTCGTGCATTATTATCGCGCCGTTTAGACGAATTTAGTAACATATTTTAGCAANCAACTATTACAATGATCATTATTACCAATTGTTTTATCTTACCAAACGTTTTTACATATTAGCTGCGTGACTAATTCAGTGCATTAAAACCATTTGGCTGTATGCCTCTTGATAATTTTCTTTATCTTTATCCTTTTAAAAAAAAACATTCATTAACAGTTGCCAAAAGTCTATCGTCGTTGAAGGTCATCCATGTTAAGGGATAAAATCTCACATCGAATAAAGATGTAAATATAAACCAATTTATAAAGAATTGTGTTACTCGATCCTTTTAATAAGGTTAACATTTTAAGATGAAACCTCAATTCTTAACATGTTATCAGAGCCCATTAAACTCTAACGAACAATTCGATCCGATTAAGACTCCAAAAGTGAGCATACGAAATTTTAAGATTTGTTTGCTCAAATAAGCCACCATCTTGTGGGGGTATGTTAAAGGATAGAATCTCACATTGAATAAAGATATAAACATAAATCATTATAAGCTTGTAGATGATTTATGTCGCTAAATGTGTTTGATGGTAGTGATGTTGCTAAAAATATTTATATCTCAGGTGTAAAGTATATCAATCTTTTCTTCAAAAATATTTATACAGTTTATTTATTTTAGCAAATATATTTTGGCTGTGTGCCTCTGGATAATTTTCTTTATCTTTATCCTTTTTAAAAAAAAAAAAAAATTTCATTAACATTTGCCAAAAGTCTATCATCGTTAAAGGTCATCCATACAATTTATAATTTTTTATATTTTCGACGGATTAGTGACAATTTTAGCAAACTATTTCGTGTCGTCACTAAATATGCGGGTAACTTTTTGTGTCTTTAAAAAATATAACCACCATTGGAAAATCATTGCTAAGCTTGTAGATGATTTATGTCGCTAAATGTGTTTGATGGTAGTGATGTTAGATTAAGTGTAGGATGAAAATCGAGATTCTCGTGCTTTCAAATCTATCAGAAAAATAATGGTTGTTGAAAATTTGTAGCTAAATCCGTATGTGAATTTGTAGTAAATACGTCTCTGAATATGCTATAAAAGTTTATTTCTTGAATCGAACCAGCTTGTAATGGCAATAATCTCTAAAAAAAAGTTTAATTTAAGCATAGTGGAATAAGATTTATTATCCCTTAGTAAGGAAAGAAAAAAGATTTATGTGCAAAAGATTATTTTAGAAATTTCACATTTCTTTCTTTATGATTATTTTTATTACTAAAATCTCCTATTTATTGCACCAGATTCGATATAAGTAATTGTTCGAGACGAATATTAATAAATATTTTTGTACATTTCAGTTTGTAACCTGAAATTGGAGCTACATCAGAGGGGATTGAATTACATTGCTCAACAGAAAAATGGTATACATCGTTTGTTACTCATTCATTATATTATATTGGGTTGTAAACGTTTTAAATTTTAAATAACTTTTATAATCTATTTTTTAAAACAATTGAACATCTCCAATATCTTTCAAGCGTTGTAGATTTTTCTTGACAAAAACAATTTAAGATTTCTAATGATTAGAAACCAAACATTTTACAGAATTCATAAATCAACAGATATGATATTTATTTCGGGAAAAATTCATATCTCAGGTGTAAAGTATATGCCAATACAAAATTCAGACATTAGTCTCAGGTGATAACTAAATAATTAAAACTATTTTATTAATTAAATATACTAAGGTTACGATTATACAATTAATGGTCACAATTGCATACTTATATATCATAATTTATTTATTGGTCACAAATTAAAAATATTATATGTCACAAAATTTATTTATTGGTCACCAATCATAATTTTTATAGGCACAAGTTATTTAATAGTCACAGATTTTCAAATTAATTGGTCATAAATTATTTTTCAATCATGAATTATCGAATCTTTAGGTGACAATTAAATAGTTGGTCACATACACCAAACACCTCACCCTCAATCCCAATCCACTTCCAATATTTGATCACAAATCAACCATGTAGTTTGTCACGAACACCTAAATAGTTGGTCACAAACACTCTTCATCCCATTCTGTCGCCACCACTACCAACAACACCAACACCAACTTCAACACCACATAACCATCAACACAACACTATCGCCGTCAACCACCAACACCATCATCGCCGCTGACCATCACCACCCAACTAGCACAATCAACATCACAACCACTTCACCACCATAGTCAACATCACAACCACCACCATCCAACTACAAACATCGCCACAATTTGCAAACCACCAGCAACTACCCGAAAAAACTCCAGATTTTCACCACTACCTTATTGCCAACACCCAAAACACCCTACAACATATCGAAGTGAAGAAACACCATGTCACCACCGCTACAGAGACAACTGTAGCGCGCAGAGTAGCGCCCACATTGCCATCATAGCAGCGGTGGCTGGAGCGCGAAGTCACCCCAGACATATAGGAGGGAAGAAACACCACATCCACATCGTCGTCATCCCTAAAACAACGTCCACGTCGTTGTTGTCGTCTATAGCATGTAGAGCAGCGAGCACAACATCATCGCAACGACGGCAATTGGAGCGAGGAGTCGTGCGCAGCGCCGCAACTGCCGCAGCGTCGACGTTCACCACGTTAGCAGCGCTTTTGAGCGCTGCACGCAGCGACGTCACTAATGGTTCTCGTTGAGGAGAGGGAGAGTGAGAGAGGAGATTCCGGCTTCGTTGAGGAGAGGGAGAGTGGGAAGATCCCGGCTTCGTTGAGAGGGAGAGGGTGAGAGAGAGAGAGAATGGATTAAAATGATTTAGGGTTTGAAGTTGGGTGAAGTGAGTGTTTTGGTGGGTGTTGAATTTGTAATAATATTATTAATATTAAAATATTAAATTGTTACTTGATTTTTGATTGAATATGCTTCATATCTGATTTTTGAAGTGTGATCTTTAGATGCTTTAGTGTAATTTCTACATTTATTTATATCTTCATTAATTAAAAAAAAGTTCTTGAACGTGAATTTATAAGGGAAAAAATCTTTAAAATTTCCCAATTTAAAATTGGTAACAGGCGGACTTCCAGGAGGGTCGTCAGGCCCCCACTGAGCTCAGCACAGCATGAGCGGACGTAGGGGGTGGCCTGACCCCCCCAATTTTAATGTGGTGCATTCAGCAACCAGAAATAGTTTCCTTTTGCATTTTGTACTGGTATCTTGAAACTCCAGATTTTAATGGAACCTGTTTACTCTGTAATGTATGGTGCTGTTTATTTCTTTTGGTTCTGAATTCACAGAACATGTAGTTGTTTGCATTGTATCCCAAAGAACTTCAAAATCTTACTGTTACAAACTTTGCTAACATTTTTCTATATTTAGCAGAGTAATTTTCTACCAAAGGACTATGATGCAGCAACCAGGGAATTCTACTCAAGTGTCGGAAAGCGGACAAGATCAAGGAGGAAGATCTACTTTGGGGTGGCACAGGGGAGTTCTTGTAGTTCAGGGGATGTGGAGGAAATTGGCACAGTGCATGGCAATTCTGCACCACGTCGCCATCAAAGACCGAAGAAAAAGATTTCAGGTATCTTTTAAAAACATTTGAATGACTCAGATTGCAACTAGATTTTACTTATAAACGTCGCTCCCTTGGAGCGTTTCCCATGTGATTAAATTCTATTTGTCCATTGCAAATTTTTTGTAGTTTTAGCCAAGTCTGCTCTTGTTTAAGCTTTTCCAATTAAATATGTTCAAAAGACTATCATATAAGCTTTAATTTTAATATTTTATGCAAACTGGACAAGAGAATCGAATCTTTCTGGTTATATTGCTTCTTCATGACATTTTTAACGGGTGTAGTTTCTTCTGGAATCTCCCTTTCCAAAGTGAGAGGACTTAGTAAATGAAAGTTCTCTAGAAAATAGGCCAGCACATATGAACTTGTATATGCATTAAGGATTTTTGGCAACCAAACATGTCTCTTGAAGTAGGGAGCAACTCTGTCCTAGCCATGAAATTTATGTGAAGTTAATCTGGTGAATTTCCATTTTTTGATCCCATCTTTTCCCCTCTATTTAAGCTGAAAAGGTAAAGCACATTTTAGAATCTTATAACACGAGGATTTCGCGAGCACAGGAAAGTAAATATGAAAGAGTGCTTTATCGTCAATTCCCTCCTTTTCCTTACTTTTCAACTTTCAGATCTCTTGTACACAAGGAAGTAGTCACTTAGAAAAATAAATGGTAATGTTACGTTCAAAAGTGTCAACAATACACATCTTTGATAATTAATTCATTGAGTAGATTAAATATATATATTTATGTTCCTGAACAGGGAACAGAAACAAAGATATGAATTCCAAGGAAATTGAGATTGAAAAAATTGACGAAGCTGAGTTCAGAAATAAAAAAAAGCGTTCTGCATGCAAGGAAGGGTCCTCAATAAGGCAAGAATCAAAAGGAGATTCTGCAGCCAACTTTAATAATCCTTGTGGTGTGAGCAAAAATGTACCAAAGGTTGCTATGCATGGAGCCTCTTTCTCACGGGATGCTGGCGACAGATATGCAGATAAAGAAAATGTTGACATTAAGAACTCTGTTTCCTCGAGAAGCTTGTACAGGGAGAGCTTGCTTGTAGAAAAAGGTGATGGTGTTGAGTTTCTCATTTTATCTGGTCATTGTTGTTTGAATCTTGAATTTTGCACAATTTCACTAGTAATTTTGCCACATTAAGGTTTTAGTCAAGATCACCTATTCATGATAGTGATATTTCATTTTAAGAATTTGACGCTTGGAAAATTATTAGAACCTATCCACTATCTCCTCATGATTATTTTTCTAGAAATTGCCAACATATTTTAGCTACGAATGCCAAACTGAGAGGATTTAGTAAATGAAAGTTCTCTAGAAATGAGGTCAGGGCATACGAATTTGTATATGCGTTAAGGATTTTTGGCAACCAAACATGTCTCTTGAAGTGGGGAGCACCTCTGTCCTAACTAAGAAATATACGTGAAGTAAATCTCAATGAATTTCCATTTATTGATCCCATATTTTACAGAAGAATAATGCTAAGTGGTGTTGAACACCAGTCTGGGTGTCATATGTGGGTGTCATATGTCATATTAAATAGATCGTAACTCCTTGTATGTAATTGAACCTGTAATTTAATGTCACTAATATTAACATCTAGACTGATGTTAAATAACATTACTCTTTATAGAGTCAGTCCCCCATTTTTTACTGTACATGAATATGTGGAGCTCAGCACGTCTCGAAGTATGGAAAAATGTTTTTTTTTGCTCATATTATTATATGTATTTGATATTGGGTTGTTCATAACAAACCTATAACTTCCATATTTACTGGACAATTTTTTGGGGTAATTCATCAGCATGGGTTTTTCTTCCTCTTCTAGTACAGGTTTGGGAGCCCTCGTCCAAACGAGTATTTTACAGAGAGAAAACATAATAACTTGCAAGACATATTGATGGTGCAGCAATAGCTAAGAAGCCTTGACATTTCGTCATACTGATAAGTGGAATATTTCTTAGTGTTTAGCTTTTAGGGAACCAGGATTTGCACCAAGGGGGGCAACATAGGGTGCGAAAACCTTATTTTCTTAAGGCTTTTTCTTAAAACTTACCATCCCACGGCATCACAGCTTCATCCTAATATTCCTTCATTTCACAGGATGTGTATACGGCATATTCTAGCACGTACCTTTTAACACTTTCAGATTTGCCTCTTTTACCTTTTCCCCCTTATTTAAGCCGAAAAGGAGAAATCACGTTTTAAAATCTTGTAACACGAGGATTTCACGAGCACACGAAAGCAAACAATGAAAGAGTGCTTTATCGCCAATTTGCTCCCTTTTAAACAATTTCAGATTTGCCTCTTTTACCTTTTCCCCCTTATTTAAGCCGAAAAGGAGAAATCACATTTTAAAACCTTGTAACACGAGGATTTCACTAGCACACGAAAGCAAACAATGAAAGAATGCTTTATCGCCAATTTCTTCCTTCTATTTAGTTTTGAACTTTCAAATCTCGGATAATTAGGAAGTAGTCGCTTTGAAGAAATAAATGGTAATGTTATGTTCAAAAGTGTATACATATCTTTGATAATAATTCATGGAGAAGATTAAATATATATTTATGTTTCTCAACAGGGAATGGAAATGAAGATATGAATTCCATGGAAATTGAGATTGAAAAAATTGACAAAGCAGAGTTCAGAAGTAAAGAAATGCATTCTGCATTCAAGGTAGGGTCCTCAATAAGGCAAGAATCAAGAGGAGATTCTGCAGCCAACTTTACTAATCCTAGAGGTGTGAGCAAAAATGTACCACAGGTTGATATGCATGAATCCTCTTTCTCGCGGGATGCTGGCGACAGACGTGCAGATGAAGAAAATGTTGACATTAAGAACTCTGTTTCCTCGAGAAGCTTGTACAGGGAGAACTTGCTTGTAGAAAAAGGTGATGGTGTTGAATTTCTCATTTTATCTGGTCATTGTTGTTTGGATCTTGAATTGTTGCACAATTTCACTAGTAATTTTTGTCACATTAAGGTTTTAGTCAAGATCACATTTTTATGATAGTGATATTTCATTTTAAGAATTTGAAGCTTGTCAAAATTGATAGAACCAATCCATTCATCCACCCGGACTTTGAATACAAGATCCTCGCACCTACTGTTACATGTGCATCGAAGTAAAATGCCCCCTTCTTTTTTGTTCTCTCTTCAACCTATCAGATATCAGATACGTAAGACAGTAGGCTTCTTTTAGAAGTAAAACATTAATGTTTTATTGTGAAAAATGTTGCTGGTACAGATCTTCCAATTAACACGAAACAGTAGGTTTTCCTAAATTTTCACGTCTCCTTGTAGAGAACACAAATGCAGACATAAGTTCTGAGGAAATTGAGATTGAAAGAATTGATGAAGCTGAGTTCAGAAGAAAAGAACCACTATCTTCATCCATGAGAAGCTCCTTTACTGGGCAAGGATATAATGAAGGAGATTCTAATGCTGATTGCAGGGAAAATGCTAGAGGTACGAGCAAAAAGATATTATTATCTTCAACTTATCAGATATCTGATACGCAAGACAGTAGGCTTCTTTTAGAAGTAAAACATCAACGTTACAGTGAAAAATGTTTTGCTACAGACTTGCCAATTAACACAAACAGTTGGTTTTCCTAAATTTTAGTGTATCCTTGTAGGGAACAAAAATGAAGATGCAAGTTCTGCGGAAATTGAGATCGAAAGAATTGATGAAGCTGAGTTCAGAAGAAAGGAACAACTATCTTCACCCATGAGAAGCTTCTCTACGTGGCAAGGACATAATGAAGGAGATTCTGTGGCCTATTGCAGTGAAAATGCTAGAGGTAGGAGCAAAAATATATATCCTCGTCTGATTACTATGAATCCTGTAAATATTTCTGTTTGTCAACTACAATTAGGTGGACAGTAGCATAGTTTCTTATTATGATCGCTTTTAAAAATTGTATTTTGACGCTTTGGGAGTTTTTAAAAATCATTTTTCATTCAGCATAAAGACATAAAAGGTTACATTCATTTTTTTTACAAATTTTTTTCTCTGTTTGATAGACTGTGAGAACCGATCTGAATGGAAGGAAATTGATGAAAACAAAAACAAAAGAGCAGGTTCTGTCCAACGAATTACTGGTTCTGGCAGTGACAGCGAGAAAACTATTAGTCTATATGCTAATGAAGTTGCTTCCTCCCAAGGAGATGAAATATTATCGCATGGAAGCAGACATCTGATTGCAAGTCAGACTCGATTGAAGAAGGGAATTCTAAAAGATCAATCGAAAGTTGACAGAACTAGTTTGGGTTCATCAGATGAATTGCTTTCTCCTAGTGACAGTGGATTTGATAGTGTGGATTATGAACATTACTCAGTGGAGATTTCTGATTCTTCTGATGATGTGGAGTCATCACGCTACTCCATGAAACATAATCTACAAGACAAAACGACTGGAGATCACAGTAATTTGAAAGGATCTGTTGCAAAACATACCTCAAAGAAGAGAGACCTTTCGCATTGTGATGATGAAAACCTACTCGTGGATGATAAGATGAGTGACAAAGAGGAAGAAACTATGCAGCCAACAAAAAAGCAGCCAGTTACTTCACAAAAGCATTTTGATTTCATCAGAATTCTCTCAGATTCTGTACTGAATAAGGAATCTTATTTTGACAAGGAAGAAAGCGATGAAGAAGCTAAGAAGGAAACGCCACCTCAATATACTCTTCCTTCGAAATTCAGATTCGAAGATGAGGTCCCAAAACCGACTGAAAAATCAGAATATGAAAAAATGGTGGACGGTTTGTTAGCCGAAGCGACCTTAGCTCTCACATTAGAGGAAATGGGTTCCTTCGATTGCCATGAGGTAAGTCCAGCTTTAAATGTGTATAATATGAAAGTAATTTTTTCTGTTATGTTTAAGGAAGTCAAAAGTTTGACTGATTAAATGACTTGCACTTCGTTATTGACCTTATCATTGTAGAACATCAATAAAATGCTTGAAAATTGAAACTTCTAAGCAACTATTTTTCATGGAAATGAACCACTTTAAATATTCGAGTTAGTTCCATACGTATCATTTTGAATCTGCATTTTCTCCAAAATATTTGGTAAAGAACCCGAAAGAGGATTTCTCTTCTTACTTTAGACCAGAACAATACATAGAATAGAGATCTGCTTTCACTCGGTATGAAATTTTCAAGAAACAATTAATTATCATATAGAAGCTACATCTAAATTCCTTTGAATAGGTTATCAGGGATTAGTCTTTGACTATTATCGAAGAAAAATATAAATGTTTGGAAATAATTTTAATTACATATATTTTCTTCATCTGTTTATTTGTCAAAAGGGCTTATCTGTTCTAGATTTTCTAGTTATCCACAACATTTTAATGACTTATTTTTTACCAAAAAAAAAGAGAGAAAAATTCAGTATAAATTTCCAGTATGGGTGTGCTAGAAGTCGTATCATCCAATTATTAGTTTATAACACAACACAATCCTGGAAACATAACCAAGGGTCCATTAGTCTGTTATTTCATTATTCAAGCTGGGCAGTTCGTTGTTTGTTCGTGAATCAAGAATTAATGTTTCATCAGCATGTTTGAGAAAGCTGTGCAAAGACTAACCATTCTGATAATGGCCAACAGATTGATAAAAAAAATGCAGAAGCTCCTGATGCTAAAGAGACTCAACACGACAGATGCTCTAGAGGGTTGCACTGTTTGGACTTACAAGATGACATTGGTGTAAGATGCAGGTATTGTCCTTATGTGGATTGTGAACCGGAAGAATTAATGCCCCCATGGGTAAGTATTTTGATTTGATTAGTCCTGCAATCCTCTTTGATTGAATTATGAACTTGCTTGTGTGAAACTTTTTTATTCTATGCTTGCAGATGGAGAAAACCTACCGAGAATCAGACAGGAAAAAATGTTCTGACACAGAGAAGTTATATATGCCTGATGGACTTGATTTAGAATCATCAGTGGATAATGTTACAGGTTTCATCAGTAAAGCTGAAGGATCCGTTTGGAATTTAAGTCCTCGTCTCAGAGAAGGCTTGTACAAACATCAGCAAGAAGGCTTTGAGTTTTTGTGGAAGAACTTAGCTGGAAGCATTGATCTCACAGAACTGAGGACTTCTGATCCAAGTGGAGTGGGGGGATGCATCATATCTCATGCTCCAGGTACTGGAAAAACCCGTTTGGCTATTGTTTTCTTGGAGACATATTTAAAATTGTTTCCAAACTGCCGACCTATGATTATTGCTCCAGCCAGTATGCTCCTCACTTGGGAAGAAGAGTTCAGGAAATGGGAAGTTAATTTCCCATTCCATAACCTAGGCAGTCTTGAGTTCTCCGGGAAGGAAAGCAAGCTGGCTCTCAAACATCTGCCCAGAAGAAAATGCCGCGACAAGAATGCAGTTCGTTGGGTAAAAGTATATTCATGGGATAAAAGGCCAAGTGTTTTGGGAATCAGCTATACTCTTTATGAAAAGCTGGCTGGAGAAGAAATTGTGAAGGGGAAAGGGATGAAGAGGAGAAAGAGAAGCATTGTTGACGAGGAGCATGAACCTCTGAAGAAGATACTTCTTGAAAAGCCTGGATTGGTTATTCTCGACGAAGGGCACACTCCTCGCAACGACCGAAGCAGTATCTGGAATACGCTCCTGAAACTCAAGACAGAAAAGTGTGTCATTCTTTCTGGGACTCCTTTCCAGAACAACTTTGCGGAACTCTTCAACACATTGCGCCTAGTGAGACCAGCAATTGCTGATACAGTTGGAAAAGAGAGAGAGTTTGCAGAAATGATCACTTCCAGGGGGACAAAAATGAGGGGAAAATATAAAGGACCTCACTCTATTTACACTGCAGACCCATTTGACAATGCTTCGATAGAGAAACTTAAATCTGCAATAGCACCATTTGTTCACATACACAAAGGCGCCATTCTTCAGCAGAGTCTTCCTGGTTTGAGAGACTGCGTGATCCTTCTGAGACCCCCCACATTGCAAAAGAGTCTACTTGAGAGGATAGAAGGCTTACCAAACACTTTTGAATTTGAACACAAGGTAGCATTGATCTCTGTGCACCCTTTCCTTTTCTTACGATCCCATTCAACAGAAAAAGAGAACTTCGAAATTGACCAGGACGCGTTAGAGGCTTGTAGGCTTAATCCGAATGAAGGTGTGAAAACAAGATTTCTCTTGGAACTTGTCCGCCTCAGCATTGCCAATAATGAAAAGGTGTTGGTATTTAGTCAGTACATTCAGCCTCTAGAATTAATAAAGGACCAGCTAATGGCAATTTTCGAGTGGGTGGACGGAAAGCAAGTTTTCACGATGCAAGGAAAGCTAGAACAGAAGCAGAGGCAGATCTGGATAAATTTATTCAATGATCCACAGAGTGAAGTAAAGGTAATGCTTGCCTCAACAAAGTGCTGTTCTGAGGGTATAAATTTAATCGGGGCCTCAAGGATAGTTCTCCTGGATGTTGTATGGAATCCATCTGTGGAAAGGCAAGCTATAAGCCGTGCATACAGGCTTGGCCAGAAGAAAGTAGTCTACACATACCATCTAATGACATCTGGGACAACTGAGGGGGATAAGTACTGTAGGCAAGCTCAAAAGGACCGCTTATCTGAGCTAGTGTTCTCTTCTTCCTCAAATGAAAACGAGAATCAAAAGAAACCTGCCGCCGGAATTGAAGATATAATCCTAGATGAGATGGTCCATCATGCCAAGCTAAAGGATATGTTTGAAAAGATTATCAACCAGCCAAAAGACACAAATTTAATTGAAACTTTTGGTCTGACATCCTGATAGAAACAAGTAATTTCCGGTATCTTATTACTAGATTTCTTCAAAGATTTTTTAAAAACGCATTACATTTTCGATGGTGAGATGCAGGCTCAGTAGACTCGTCATATTGAAAATCCTTTGTTAGGTTCCATAAAATTTCCTCTTGGCCATAGACTTTTATCATCTCTTATATCTGAAATGCAGGAAACAACTTTGGCAGGGGAACAACTTACTACTTAAAATGCTTTAGACAGGATGCAGCCTTAGTCATGGATCAAGAAAGGTATTCTTTTCTCGATAGATAAGGACCTAATAGACATTACACATTCATATAGCGGTGATATTAATTGTACATGATAATCAGGAAATGAAATTCATTAATTTCAGCAAGCAATTGAAAAGGGAAAAAAATCAGAAACATATTTTAGTTACAAATGCCTATAAGATGAAATTTTATCAGGTGTATACTGTATTTTTCAGCTGTTTTCTATTGACTTGCAGGAGCAAAAGCCAACAGTCTCTCATCTTTATGACTCAAGTGCAGATCATTAGTTTTGAACCTTCTAGTTTGCCTTTTCAGAAGTTCACAATTACAGACGACTTGGTTGCTTTCTTTTACAGTTTTAATGATGAACTTTCACAGCATTGTACGAATGGGAAATTCATACTTCATTTTTGAAATTCTAAGGTTGATTTTATCAGTAGAATTTACGCTTCTCGTAGGATTGGTTGTGAAATTTCTCGTGACTTGAACAAATTCTCACGACAGGCTACATATTTAACGTGGCTCGTAGTATGTTGAATTAGAATGTGTGATATGATATTTGCATTTTCGGGGTGGTGAAGCTAAGTGCAACCTTCATCTCCCCTGCTATGATCATAGAAGTCTGAAAATGTGACATCCATGTTGCCAGTCGAAGTCTTGCACATTGAGATGGAAGATTACTAGTTTTTTAGAATTTCGACCCAAAATAGAAAATACATTCTTGTGAGATAGAAGGATACATGTATTATGGCTAAAGAAAATGCAATTGCAGACATACCACTTTAGTTGTCTTTATTCGACCCTTTATTCCGTATCGATTACACAATTGTGTTTTCCCTAAAATTCTTCTGTTATCTTTTCAAAGACTCGATTTTTGTAAAGACTCTAAACTTCTAATATTTCTTAGGGATGGCAAAAAAAATCCATTCAACCCGATACCCGTGGAGCCCTGTCCCAAATGGGACGGGGATTACCCGCCTAACCGGGTAAACGGGGCGGGGCGGGGCGGGGACGGGGCGGGGGTCATTGCCCCGAAGCGGGTATGAGACGGGTACGGGAAACATAGTCCCCGTCCCGCTACCCACCCCATTTAAAGTTAATTTCAAATTTAAGTTTTTTATCAAACAAAAATAATAAATTTATCATATTTTTAAAGGGAACATAAGTTATTTAATCCTGATAGAAACAAGTAATTTCCTTTATCTTATCACTAGATTTCTTCAAAGATTTTTTGAAAACGCATTACATTTTCGATGGTGAGATGCAGGCTCAGTAGACTCGTCATGTTGAAAATCCTTTGTTAGGTTCCATAAAATTTCCTCTTGGCCATAGACTTTTATCATCTCTTCTATCTGAAATGCAGGAAACAACTTTGGCAGGGGTGCAACTTACTACTTAAAATGCTTTAGACAGGATGCAGCCTTAGTCATGGATCAAGAAAGGTATTCTTTTCTCGATAGATAAGGGCCTAATAGATATTACACATTCATATAGCGGTGATATTAATTGTACATGATAATCAGGAAATGAAATTCATTAATTTCAGCAAGCAATTGAAAAGGGAAAAAAAAATCAGAAACATATTTTAGTTACAAATGCCTATAAGATGAACTTTTATCAGGTGTATACTATATTTTTCAGCTGTTTTCTATTTACTTGCAGGAGCAAAAGCCAACAGTCTCTCATCTTTATGACTCAAGTGCAGATCATTAGTTTTGAACCTTCTAGTTTGCCTTTTCAGAAGTTCACAATTACAGACGACTTGGTCGCTTTCTTTTACAGTTTTAATGATGAACTTTCACAGCATTGTACGAACAGGAAATTCATACTTCATTTTTGAAATTCTAAGGTTGATTTTATCAGTAGAATTTACGCTCCTCATAGGATTGGTTGTGAAATTTCTGGTGACTTGAACAAATTCTCACGACAGGCTACATATTTAACGTGGCTCGTAGTATGTTGAATTAGAATGTGTGATATGATATTTGCATTTTCGGGGTGGTGATGCTAAGTGTGACCTTCATCTCCCCTGCTATGATCATAGAAGTCTGAAAATGTGACATCCATGTTGCCAGTCGAAATCTTGCACGTTGAGATGGAAGATTACTATAGTTTTTAGAATTTCGACCCAAAATAGAAAATACATTCTTGTGAGATAGAAGGATACATGTATTATGGCTAGAGAAAATGCAATTGTAGACATATCACTTTAGTTGTCTTTACTAAACCCCTTATTCCGTATCGAATACACAATTGTATTTTTCCTAAAATTCTTCTGTTATCTTTTAAAAGACTCGATTTTTGTAAAGATTCTAAACTTCTAGGCCCTGTTTGGGAGAAATTTTAATCAATATTTTAATCAAAATTCTAGCTGTTAACCATTATTCACCATGCCATCACCTAAAAAAAAAGTCATCTCCTAAAAAATGTGCATCAAACACACCTTTAGGCCCTGTTTGGGAGAAATTTTAATCAGGATTTTAATCAGAAATCTAGCCGTTAACTATCAAATCAGCCACAATTTTTGACTTTCTCTCTCACAGGTGGGGCCCAGAGGTTGACTATAACGGCTATAATTTTGATTAAAATCCCACAAAAATTACTCCCAAACAGGGCCCTAGTATTTCTTAGGGATGACCAAAAAAACCCGTTCAACCCGATACCCGTGAGACCCCGCCCCAAATGGGACGGGGATTACCCGCCTAACCGGGTAAACGGGGCGGGGACGGGATGAGGGTCATTGCCTCGAAGTGGGTATGGGACGGGTACTGGAAAATAGTCCACGTCCCCTACCCGCCCCGTTTAAAGTTAATTTCAAATTTAAGTTTTTTATCAAACAAAAATAATAGATTTATCATATTTTTAAAGGGAACATAAGTTATTTTTAACAAATTGGTAAAAAAGTAATAATATTTACTAGCTAAAGACATAAAAAAATAAAAGCAAAAAATAAAATAAATAAAAAATAAAAAAAATAAATGGAGCGATAAACGGGGCATGTGCCCCGCCCTGCCCTGTCCTGTCCCGCTTTAATCGGGTATGTGGGTGGGGTAAGGTAACAAAAATACTCGACGGGACGGGAGTGAGAATGGTCTACCCGTCCCATACCCGCCCCTAGTATTTCTTAAGGTCACAATAAATAGGGAAGTCGTCAATTTTTCCCTTCTTAAATGGTGGGTTCAAAAATGGCAAAAGATGACCATTAGGAGAGGCCATTAATTCGAAAATTCAAACTTCAAAATTTATTTTCTCATTAATATACTAATTTAAAAAAAGAAAGTACATCTAATATTTATAGCTTTTTGAGCCTTTTTTGCATAAAATTGCACCCTTTTAAATTGACCAAAAAAGATCCTTTCTAAAAAATCTCTTGCAAATACATAGAACGCTAATTGTATACGAATGGTGCACCTATAGTTTATGTAGCTCTGTGAATTCGTACCGCTTATACATCCTTACGGCCGACCCTGCATAGATTGCCATGGCTGAGGAGACTGCGCGGTGAATTCTCTTGACATCGAGTCACAGGCAGACTCTATGCAGGGCACTTTGAATTGTATGCTTGGAAATTTTAAGGTTGATTTAGAAGAAGAATTTATGCTTCTCGTATGATCCGGTAAAACCGAATATATTGTTATGATCTGAAAATTCAAAATTGTATTAAGGATTGTATTGAAAATCAATGTTAGATAACAAAAGATAAATCATTGATAAAATGAAAGTCAAATAATAGAAAACATTAAAATTTATAAACATGAGTATATTATTTAAAATTTATAAATATAAGTATATTATTTAAAATTTAAAAATTCTTTGAATCTAGGCCTTGTTTGTTTGATGGAGATTTTTAGTAGAGTTTGATAAAAGTTGATGGAATGTGTGATTGAACAGTTGTAGGATCAATGAAATATATGTTTATTATTGATTATTTGACTTTGATTTAGATTAAAATCTAATTTTAATCGATAACAAATAGGGACCTACTACTTTTCTATAAAATAAAAATAAATTTGGGTTTTTACTTTTTAGATTAATTTCTCACGTGTTCATTTTACGTACTATGAATGCTACCATTGCTTTCACCCAATTAAAGTTTAAAAAAAATAAAAAAATCAGGAACGAATATGTAAGATTATAAAACCTCGTGTCCTAAAAGGTGTTATTTTACATGGTATCACGTACTAGATGGCCTCGTCTCGAAGTGTAAGAATTTGTTTGACATGACTTTTAAAAAGCTAAAATGAGTTTTTAACGGTCAAAAGTTGTTTTTAGACTCGTTTGGTTAATTCTATAAAAGTGTTTCTTCTAGTTAAAAGGAGTTTTAGAGAAAAAAAACGTTGCAGCTCATGATCTTGCTAAAATTGCATTTTTATCTCGAGTAATTTTGTTTGGTTTGATTGTCCTCCTAATTTCTGAAAACATCTTTTTATCGGTTGTGAACAACGTTTATTATGACGTTATTAAGTCCTTACTTCGTAAATTTTGATAGAAGTTGATGAAACGTATGATTGAAAACTTGATAAAAAGTATGGATTCGATAAAATATGTAGTTGAAAACTCATATGCTATATATTCCATTCCATAAATCCTAACCTGATCTACTTATCCACTCTTTCACCTTTTCCACCACTCCTTCCTACCTCTGTCTTGTTAAGGGATATAATCCCACATCGAATAAAGATGTTGACACAGACCAATTAATAAAGATTTTGGGCTACTCCTCTTAATAAGGTTGACCTTTTAAGATGGACCTCCAAATCTTAATATGGTATCAGAGCCCATTATACTCCAACGAGCGATTCGATCCCGGTAAGATTCCGAAAAGTGAGTACGTGGATTTCAAGATTGGTCTGCTCAAACGAGCCACCATCTTGCGGGGGCGTGTTAAGGGATATAATCNATAAAGATGTTGACACTGACCTATTATTTAAGATTTTGTGCTACTCCTCTTAATAAGGTTGTCATTTAATGATTGACCCCCTAAACTTATCACGTCTCTTCTCAGAATGCACACATGCACATATTTGCGTACGTATTACGTGCTTTCACTATGTAATCTTATTGTCTAAACCAATTTCACGCCAAATAAAATATGTCGCCAGGTACGTAATTCCATATTTTCATCCAATTATGTTAAACAGCCCATCAGTGTAATTTTTTTTGTTACGTAAGTAAAACTTGGTTAGAATGCAACAGTGTCACCATATGACGAGGCAATGGAGGCTCTGTCTTCATTGATCACCAAACGCAGTCGCACTGATAAGAGCAGCAAGGGCGACAGCTTTGATTTATTATTTGATTATATTGGCGTATCTTTATGTAGTTGTAAAAGTTAAATTTAAATTTGGTGCACAGTGGTGTAGAATTTTCTAGATTATATTTGATTTTAATGAAATGTAGATTCTAGAATTAGAGGAGCCAATTAAACAAATGAAGATTATTCATGTGGCAGGCACCAAAGGAAAGGTAATTCTTGGTTATCAAAGGTTCGTAGTTATAAAAGGGGAAAGGTATACTTTTTGAATTAGAAATGATTTTCAAAATTGAGTTTTTTGTTGGTTATGGGTTTACCGCTGAATATGTTTCTACTGTGGCATCATGAAGGGATCAACATGCAGTTTTACTGAGTCCATACTGCGTAATTGTGGTTTTCATACCGGGCTTTTCACGTCTCCTCACCTTATTGATGTTCGAGAAAGGTTCCGATTGGATGGGTAAGTTGTAAGTCTTTTCCCTCTTCTGCTAGAGATTGAACTTTTCACCTTTTAGCATATTAGATAGACGTTTGGTCGTAATCTTTGAGGGATTTCCATTTTGCAAATTTCATCCATCTTATTGACATGTTTCTTCTGTTCACTTTGATGTTTCAGAGTAGACATTTGCGAAGAGAAGTTTATGGCATATTTCTGGTGGTGTTGGGATAAATCAGGGCTAGTTGTAATTTCCTCATCTAATATTTATAGCTTTTTGAGCCTTTTTTGCATAAAATTGCGCCCTTTTAAATTGACCAAAAAAGATCCTTTCTACCTTCTAGGGCCGAAACTGCATAGATTGGAAGGCTGAGGAGAGACTGGGCGGTGAATTCTCTTGACATCGAGTCACAGGCGTCTGTCTATGCAGGATACTTTGAATTGTTTGCTTGGAAATTTTAAGGTTGATTTAGAAGAAGAATTTATGCTTCTCGTATGATCCGAAAAAACCGAATATATTGTTATGATCTGAAAATTCAAAATTGTATTGAAAATCAATGTCAGATAAGAAAAGATAAATTTGGTTAAACTTATATTGTCATTGATAAAATGAAAGTTTACGTGGTCAATCAAATAATAGATAACATTAAAATTTATAAATATAAGTATATTATTTATAATTTAAAAATTCTTAGAATCTAGGCGGCCTTGTTTGATGGAGATTTTTAGCAGATTTTGATAAAAGTTGATGGAAAGTGTGGTTGGAAAGTTGTAGGATCAATGAAATATGTGGTTAATATTGATTGTTTGACTTTAACTTAGATTAAAATCTAATTTTAATCAATACCAAACAGGGATCTACTACTTTTCTATAAAATCAAAATAAATTTGGGTTTTTACTTTTTAGATTAATTTCTCACACGTGTTCATTTTTCGTACTCTGAATGCTACCATTGCTTTCACCCAATTAAAGTTTAAAAAAAAAAATAAAAAAAATCAGGAACTAATATGTAAGATTATAAAACCTCATGTCCTAAAAGGTGTTATTTTACATGGTATCACGTACTAGATGGCCTCGTCTCGAAGTGTAAGAATTCCTTTGACATAACTTTTAAAAAGCTAAAATGAGTTTTTAACAGTCAAAAGTTGTTTTTAGACTCGTTTGGTTAATTCTATAAAGGTGCTTCCAGCTCATGACCTTGTTAAAATTGCATTTTTATCTTGACTGAATTATGTTTGGTTTGATTGTCCTCCTAATTTTTCTGAAAGCATCTTTTTATCGGTTGTGAACCTCGTTTATTATGACGTTATTAAGTCCCTACTTGGTAAATTTTGATAGAAGTTGATGAAATGTATGGTTGAAAACTTGATAAAAAGTATGGATTCGATGAAATATGTAGTTGAAAACTCATATGCTATATATTCCACCACTCCTTCACCTTTTCCACCACTCCTTCTCCCTATCTCTGTCTCTCCTCAGAATGCACACATGCACATATTTGTGTACGTATTACGTGCTTTCACTATGTAATCTTATTGTCTAAACCAATTTCACGCCAAATAAAATATGTCGCCAGGTACGTAATTCCATATTTTCATCCAATTACGTTAAACAGCCCATCAGTGTAATTTTTTTGGTACGTAAAACTCGGTTAGAATGCAACAGTGTCACCATATGACGAGGCAATGGAGGCTCTGTCTTCATTGATCATCAAAAGCTGTCGCACCGATAAGAGCAGCAAGGGCGATAGCTTTGATTTATTATTTGATTATATTGAGGTATCTTTATGTAGTTGCTAAAGTTAAATTTAAATTTGGTGCACAGTGGTGTAGAATTTTCTGGATTATATTTGATTTTAATGAAATGTAGATTCTGGAATTAGAGGAGCCAATTAAACAAATGAAGATTATTCATGTGGCAGGCACCAAAGGAAAGGTAATTCTTGGTTATCAAAGGTTCGTAGTTATAAAAGGGGAAAGGTATACTTTCTGAATTAGAAATGATTTTCAAAATTGAGTTTTTTGTTGGTAATGGGTTTACCGCTGAATATGTTTCTATTGTGGCATCATGAAGGGATCAACATGCAGTTTTACTGAGTCCATACTGCGTAATTGTGGTTTTCATACCAGTCTTTTCACGTCTCCTCACCTTAAGTCTTTTCCCTCTTCTGCTAGAGATTGAACTTTCACCTTTTAGCATATTAGATAGACGTTTGATCGTAATCTTTGAGGGATTTCCATTTTGCAAATTTCATCCATCTTATTGACATGTTTCTTCTGTTCACTTTGATGTTTCAGAGTAGACATTTGCGAAGAGAAGTTTATGGCATATTTCTGGTGGTGTTGGGATAAATTGAAGGCATGTACAGTTGTATTTATTTATATGAATTGATTTTCTATTCCTTGAATTTCATACATCCTCGACCTTCTACATTATATCTTCTCATGACCGTGATTGATCCTTGTTGTACCAACACTACAGGATCACTGTTCATTACTCATCCTTTAAAAGATAAGCCAGTGATTGGCATACAGAAACATGGGGAGGAAACGGAGTTCAGAAAGGGCAGGGTTAGGTACACTTCTCTCGTGGATATTATGATTATTGCCTAACCGTGTTAGGTTCAAGGAAGACTAGGGGGGAAGTGATCCAATGAGGAAACAAATTTTGTAGGAAGTAGGACAAAGCATTTTATCTATGAACTCTCTTGGTTTTTTCTTAACTTGATTTTCTTAGTTGTTTACCTCGTCTAGCTCCCTCAATAAGGGAGGAAAATATCTGCTGTTACTTACTCCGCCTCTTGCCTTCCTTACAATGTGGTTACTAATCTTACGAATCTACTTCCTATAGGCTACATGAATTCTACAGTTAAATAAATAATTTATGTTGATATATAGGTTGGTAACAAAATAATGATTTTGCTATATTTGAAATTCTCGTAGATTTTCACAGAAATAGATTTTAGTTGTAATCCAATATAGTTGTTTGCTATAATCTTAAAAATACTATATATTCCATTTAAGCGTTCACATCGTAAAAGGAAATAATAACTAGTTTTATTAGTTTATGTAAATGAGAGGCTTACTTTTGATACCTTCCTTTTCCATGGAAAATGGAAAAACAATTCATTTTCCACCCATTTATGATGTTTGATAGCCAAAATTTGGCTTGGAAAAAGTTTTCCCATTCCCTTGTCCACGCGCACCTGAATTCCTCAAAATAAGGGAATTCCAACTTGCTGGCCATTTTTATTTATTTTTTATTTTTTTTTGGCAATGAAAATAAATATCATACCCAATTGTAAAAAAAAATTCACTTTAATGGGCAATTTCCATGTAAAACGAAACCAAACGAAAACTAAACTTTGATGAAAAAATAGTTTTCGAGCAAAAAAAAAATTTTTTTTTTTTTAACTTATTGAAAATGTTAAAAAATTTAATAATCAACCGTAAAAAAATTATTCAATTTAATAGACAATTTTAATGTAAAATAAAGCCAAAAAAACCAAACGAAAACTAAACTTTGATGAAAAAATAGTTTTCGAGCAAAAAAAAAATTTTTTTTTTTTTTAACTTTTTGACAATGGTAACAAATTTCATAACCAATTATAAAAAAAAAAATTCACTTTAAAATGGACAATTTTCTTGTAAAATAAAGCCAAACGTGGACCAAAAAAAATCCAAAATTTCAAAAATTTTCCGATTGGAAAATTATACCAATCAAACACACTTAATTAACAATTCTCTGAAAAACAATTTCTAAGCAATTACTTTCCTTGAAATTAATTTTTTTCCACCCATTTTTCACCCTTACAATCAATCGGATCCTTTAGTAAAAAAGATGTCCTAAAGATGGATGGATATAATTTTTGTCTTAATGACATCAGTTTTGATGTTTCAGGAGTCCACTTTAAAGAGGCACTGTTTGTACCCAACGTATCGCTGTATTACAAGGTAGGGGCCAATGCTTCACCTCAAGCTGATTATCAAGTTGACGCCGGGCAGAATAGTGATTATTCTGCTGGCTGGAAGGAAAATATCTGCTGTTACTTACTGTTGCCTCTTGCCTTCCTTACAATGTGGTTACTAATCTTACGAATCTACTTCCTATAGGCTACATGAATTCTACAGTGAAATAAATAATTTATGTTGATATATAGGTTGGTAACAAAATAATGATTTTGCTATATTTGAAATTCTCGTAGATGTTCACAGAAATAGATTTTAGTAGTAATCCAATATAGTTGTTCGCTATAATCTTAAAAATACTATATATTCCATTTAAGCGTTCACATCGTAAAAGGAAATAATAACTAGTTTTATTAGTTTATGTAAATGAGAGGCATACTTTTGATACCTGCCTTTTTCCATGGAAAATGGAAAAACAATTCATTTTCCACCCATTTATGATGTTCGATAGCCAAAATTTGGCTTGGAAAAAGTTTTCCCATTCCCTTGTCCACGAGCGCCTGAATTCCTCAAAATAAGGGAATTCCAACTTGCTGGCCATTTTTATTTATTTTTTATTTTTTTTGGTAATGGAAATAAATATCATACCCAATTGTAAAAAAAAAAAATTCACTTTAATAGGCAATTTCCATGTAAAACGAAACCAAACGAAAACTAAACTTTGATGAAAAAATAGTTTTCGAGCAAAAAAAATTTTTTTTTTTTAATTTTTTGACAATGGTAACAAATTTCATAACCAATGGACAATTTTCTTGTAAAATAAAGCCAAACGTGGACCAAAAAAAATCCAAAATTTCAAAAATTTTCCGGTTGGAAAATTATACCAATCAAACACACTTAATTAACAATTCTCTAAAAAACAATTTCTAAGCAATTACTTTCCTTGAAATTAATTTTTTTCCACCCTTACAATCAACCGGATCCTTAAGTAAAAAAGATGTCCTAAAGATGGATGGATATAGTGTTAATGACATCAGTTTTGATTTTTCAGGAGTCCACTTTAAAGAGGCACTGTTTGTACCCAACGTATCGCTGTATTACAAGGTAGGGGCCAATGCTTCACCTCAAGCTGATTATCAAGTGATCTGTCATGGCAGTTGACCCTTCAAAGAATATGGGAAAACGTCATTCGTGGGGAAAAGGGTATTGCTTCTTCTTCTTCTTCTTTTTTATTGACAGCAAGGTATTGCTTTTGGGTGTGACCAAATGATAAACTTCCGTTGGTGTCCCTTCTCATTTGTATTGGAAAGTTGAAAATGCGCTTCCGATCCTATAATTGTTTTACAATGACTTGTCTGGTCCAATCTATTATCCTTACGTTGTCTTAGTTTTTTTTTTTTTTGCACATGTTGAGGGGGTCTATTGTGTATTTAAGATTTGGATAGCCTGTATGAACCACCATTCCCCCTAAGTCACAATGTCTTTTTTGCATAGTCCCTCACCATTTGTGTTGATGGGGTCCGTATTCAGTCTTCCAGCTATTACTAGAAATTATCGATCATGATGCTTGTCCTATTGTTACTTCAGCCAGAGTCCCAATTCTGTGACTGGAAGTTCACTACTATAAATGACCCATAATAAAGTGTTGCTTCTCCTCTCAGTGAAGAATTACTTTTTGATATGGTTAGTTTATAAATAAATGGCATCGAATCACTTATGTGTTCTAGTGAGAATATAATGGGATTGGATTGGAAGATTTTCTAAAATTCCGGTTCAGAGCAATATGCACACATTTTGTTCATATCACCAGTATCTCCTTGAGCAACTAAATAAGTTATAATTTGCATGGTTGATTTGACATTCTTCTATATTTGCTTTTGACTTTGGCAAAGTTATTGAGTGGGGTTTGAATGAAATATCAAATATATCAAACATTTGGATCTATGAGACGCAAAAATGTGTTATTTTAGATATTTTGTCATTATTTTATGGTCTATTAGATTTAAAATGTCATATGAATTGTTCTATACATAATATGGTACAAAGGTATATTTCATATCCTTTCTGAGTCTTTGATTGATATAAAAGTTTTGTTCACCATACGTGATCATCTACTTTCTTCCAGGGGTCTAATGTTATTTTGTCAGTTTATCCTCTGTTGTACAGTATTTCCATACAATTTAGAGCTGATAGTTTGAGTGATTATTCCTTGATCCTGCATTTCCAAAGGGAATATGTGGATTTGAAGTCATCAGCAGAAGCAGTGATAGTTGCATTCTTCTTTCGTTTGTCTGAACCAGATCTTATTCATAGGATGCATAGAAGCTCAACATGGCCTGTAAATTTACAGGTAGAAACGCAATGAATGCAGACTTGACTTATGAAGAAGGAGAAGGTGCAGATATTCTTGAGAGAGGTGCTGGAACTTGTATGAATAGCAAAATGTTCCCTTCACTTCTGTTAGCTATTAATTGGCTCAGAGGCGGTGTCAGAAAGAATCGATCTATTCGCTTTCAGGTAAGGTGTATGTCTGTAAATATTAAAATGTGTTGTTTGAGAACAACATCAATTTTATGTAGCTTCGCTTTCTAATGTGTTGTTTGAGAACAACATTTATGGTGTGCTAGGAAGGGGTATTAGATAACTTAAAGTACCATTAGAGAAGAAAAATGTTAAATTCTTGTTCATTATAATGTTGAGTCCCGTCTAATAATGTGCATCAAATATGCACTTAAGGTACAAAAGAGTGTCGGTGTCGCCATTATATCCATAGAGGACTTGGGAATTTCGATGAGTAGCGGATACTAGTTTTGGTAAAATCACGTGCTCTACATGCAACACGTGATGCATGCACAAAAGACCAGGATGTGGTAGAACCACTATGGTAAAGAACTGAAGTTTTAACGAAGTTCTGGTTTGCTGCGTTTGCAAAGTGATGCATTGCTGCAATTGGAACCTATTGTTTTCATAATTGTAGTTAGCTCACCTTTTATGCCTATTTGGCCTTGGTTTCTTTGAATTTTGTTGCACTTGTTTATATTGCAATTTGGCCCTTAAGCTGGTAAAGAATCAGATGTTCGAATGTATAATATTGCGTACTTACGTTTTCTCTTTTAATTACTGCACAGGTCCTGGTGACGGGTTCTTTGCATCTAGTAGGTGACATGTTGAGATTAATCAAAAAGTAAGTTGATATGAATAAACTGGACTTCCTATATTTGCATCTGGTTCTTCCTGCGTCAGCCTCTGGTATTCGTGACAACCAATGATTCGTATTGCATCCATTTCGCTGAAGTTTTTACCATTTTTGTTAAAGGTATTTAACGGTGCTTCATTTTTTAAAATTCATTTATTTCATTTTATAATTATTGGAGAACTGTACAGCATTTATTTTGGATATCTCAACTGTAAAGCTATATGTTTACAGATCTGCATTTTGAAACATTAGTTTACTTATCCATTATAACAAAATATCTTCAGTAAGTTAGAGCAGAAGCAATAACAGTACCAAAATTTAATAGAACTCTAATGAGTCTGCCTTTGCTCATAAATGTCACACTTCGAAAACAAAAACAACCTACGGCAAAAACAAAAACAACCTACGGCAACGTTCAAAAAACGTAACGTTTGGACGTGTGTTGCAAATCGAGGTGTTGTCGTAGAGTAGAAAGCTACGGCAACGTTTAAAAAACGTTGCCGTAGGTCATATTACAATTTATATATATATATATAACAATTTATGTAAATTGATCGACAAAATTGAAAATACTCATTTTGAACGAATTTTAGAATTGCATAAAAATTAATAATTTCATTACAAATTTTTGAATCCATAGACTTGAACATTAAAATATAAGACATCATCACCTAAATAAAAATGAGTTTCGAAATGAAATAAAATTAGGAATAAAATTTTGGACAAATAACAGCAGATATGAAAATGCTACCCTGAGAACTTCACAACATTCCCACTACATTTAAAAGAACTTGCATTAGCCGCTTTTCATCACCAATGGCATACTCTGGCAATAACACTTGACGAGCATCTTTTAACATCAGTTTCTTTTGACATTTCTTCTGACAATAACTTCTTTATTGGTGTTATAGTGGCTCGTCTCGAAGAGCTTTGCCCCAGATCAACCATGAACTGCATTAGTCATTTATAATTTATCATATGCTAACAAATCATACAGAACAAAACACACATACACGCACCATATCATTCCCAGTGGTTCCACCAACAGGAGTTTGAGAATCAGAAGACAATCTCTGAGCAGCTTTGTCGAATTCCTGGAACAGTCGAAATCATAAGAAATTGATTGCAAGACTTATAAATGTAGTTGAAAGCTATCAATCACTAATAATTCTGGAAAGAGTCTGTCAATGGAAAGAGTTCTCTAGATGCACATCTCAAAATGGATTAAATAAGACACATTCATCCAAAATAGTACTAAACAATAAAAAAAAATAGAAAATTAAAAGCAAAAGAAAATGTTATTTATGTAATAAGATTGAAAATCAAATAAAATGTTTGGCTAAACTTAAAAAGTTTGCTTATAAGTAAATGAAAATTTGAAATTTATGTAATAAGATGTTGTAAAATGTTGTAAACTTCTGTTTCCTCAGGAAAGACACTTTTTACTTTAGCCATGTCCTCTTCTCTTTGTTAAACATCAATTCTATACCATTCTTGTCAAACAGGAGACCACATTATATCAGTTCAAGGAATGAATCCAAGCAAACAAATTCCAAGTATTTTTCTTCTTAATTAGTAGTAGTTTTAACCATGGTTTGCCTACTGGGATTCTTGTTTCAGTGCAAGAATTCTTCTGTCCTGGCTCTTGATCCTCATTCGAATTCTCGTGGCTCTTCGCCTGCTGTGTCATTGGATCCAACGAAAAACCAGAATTCACCTTTACTGAACAGATTAAATTATAATAGCAGCCAATAAAGTAAACAATCAGATAGAAGTTACAAAGGATTCACCCAAATATATGCATCTAACCGAGAAAGAACAAATAAAAAACAAGAAAGATTACAACAAGAATAGGGAGATGGCCAATGTCGAATCCATCGACCCATCTCAACCCAGAATCCTTCAAGTCCAATGACAGCAGCTTATCAATCTGAGAAGACAGTAAAATATTTTAATTCCTTCAAGTTGAGCAAAATATTCAATCACGAAAGCATAAGAGCATAACCAGAAATTTTGGAAAACTACAGAAAAACCAACCCTAAATCACATGTCCAAAATTCCTTCCATGCTCTAAGTCATTAACAAAAACACTATATATTTCTTCCCATCCTCCGATTAAACCCAATATTTTTCCCGGCTTCTTGAATCAAAATACCAACAGACAACAAAATCCCTAATTAGAAAACCCTAAATCCTAAATCAAAAAACACAGACACAATCACACAGTGAGGAAAACCGAAACTTACCTCATTAGAAGAGCAGGGCGACCGGCGACGGGAGTTGGAAAGGGTGGAGCTCGGAAACGGAACATGTGTGGCGTGGGAGAGTGGAGTCTGGGACTGCGGCCTGCGGGCGGGAGACGGGAGAGAGGAGAAGAGAAATGAGGATGAATTTTGTGGTGGAATGGAGTGGTGGTGGTGGCCAGTGGGAGTTTGAGACGGGAGAAAGAGAGCCTCAGGCAAGCTCGAGAGTGAAATGTGAAGAAATGATGAGAGAGGTCGATTTTTTTCCTTTTATATTGGAAAAGTTGCAACTCACTTTTCGCAACGTTTATCTTTATATTGGAAAAGTTGCAACTCACTTTTCGCAATGTTTGATAAACGTTGCGAAAAGGCTTACCTTTCGCAACGTTTGATAAACGTTGTGAAAGGTGACTTTCAGCAACATTTGATAAACGTTGCGAAAAGTCTTACCTTTAGCAACGTTTGATAAATGTTGTTAAATGTAAAACCTTCCGCAACACTCAATAGACGTTGCTAAAGGTGTCTACAACAATATTTTTTTAAAAAAAACGTTGCCAAAACTCATTTATTAATACCAATGGCAACATTCACTTACTAAAATATTGCCAAAAGACCCTTTTAGCAACATTTGTCAACAAATGTTGCCTTTTTAATGTTGCAAATGACTATTTTTGTTGTAGTGTAATATTTTCACTAGGTCTACATAAAACACCTTTTTTTGTTTAGGTGGGATACCAACTTACAATGGTAGTAGCTACAACAACATCAACTTGAACTTATGTGAAAAACGAATTTTCTCCAATAAGATTGGCAAGAAAATATACAATCGAGCCATATATTTTTCATGAAAAGAAGGGTTAAAAGAGTGAATTGCTTCTTTTACGTTTATTGGAAATTAATCTAGACTTGTCATGAATGTTGAAGACGATTTATTTAATATCAGCATTACTTGGTAACTACCTTCCGATATATGAACCATGAATATGAAAAAGAAAATCATGAAGATTGGTATACAATAATTATATTTCATAATAATCTACAAGCTTGATCATAAATCAATTATATTAAGAAAATTCATGAATGCATACCAAATGTTTTAGTATATCTAAAATGCATGTTTACATGAATATGTAAGATTCGTGCCAGGGGCGGGTGTGCAGGTGGTGTGATCACATAGGCCCAAAATTATAGGCGTACCTCAATTATAATTTTATAGCAAGAACCTGAACATTCTTCACTAAGCAAAGCAGCACAATGAACCGAAAGATAGGCCATAACTTTGAAATCCCACCAGCCTCTATGTCATCTCTTACAGCAATTGGGATGATCTCACAGTTTTATACATGGCAACTGCAGCCTGCAGAATCAGTAGAAATAAAGAGACCAACGTTCTTCAGTTGCACATTATTTCCGTTGCTAGTTTGTCGGTCAATTTATAACATCTGGTTGAAATTCTTCGCTAAGTCAGCGACGGAAAAATGATAACTTTAATAACTCTCAGGAGATTTGAACTTGAATATGTAAATTTTTACACAAAACTAACGTAAACATGATTGAAAATAAAACTAATACATTTTCCAGATTTCCGGATTATTCATTTTTACATAAACATGTATGTTCTTCAGCATCTAGGAGTTCAAACACATTACATTTCCTGATGTCCAATTACTATTTGATACTATTCATATATTTTTCTTGAGAAGAGCATATTCAATAGTGTTAAGTTGAGTAGTCGTCTTTGCAGAATTATTGGGTGTTTCAACGAGGCTAGGCCAAAGGAAGGCGCCCATTGCAAACTCTCTCTTGTAGGACAAATCGCCATCTGCTGATAAGCCATATTCAGCCAAAACCCGATCGAGCTTCCACTCGGGCATGTCCTCATAGTCCTTTCGAGTGTACCTAGGGTAGTGTAGAGGCACTCTGAAGAAACCACTAGCCTTTTCCTTGCTCCCCATTTATGGTTTTCAAGTTTCTCACTGTGTTCTATGTTAAATTAATTAAGCTAGGTTTCCCTTTTATATATCAATTAATGGGAAGGCTCAACCATGCATGTTAAATGTCACAAGGACGGGATGGTCTACCTTCCCTTGTATGAGCATATGATATGTTGGCTAGGCCCCTCTTATGTACAACTTAATTTAGACGCTAGAATCACACGTTATTTTCACGCAAGTTAAACCAAGAGAGCGGAACCATTTTCATATAACCTTTTTTTATATCTCGAGATCGAACAATGATAACTCACCCCAAAACCTCACATTTGTCTCACGAGTTTGCACTCCAACTTTTAGTTGCATGCATAATATGTTGGAATTGTCGTTCAAAACCAATAAAACGTAGTTGGAATGAAAATTGGAAAAGGAAGCCAAAACCTTGATCTATGCGACTGCATAATATCGTTTGAGGATAGCAATATCGTATTCGAGCCTTATTGATTCTTCTTTGAAGTTCTTCATCACTTGTTTTCTGATTTTTCTCCAATCCATTCACGTGGAAGTGATTGCATTATTTGAATTGTTCTTCAACCCCTTGTGTAGAAGAGCGATGATATTCCCAACATAATATTCTTGTTGACAATTTCAATCACACGATGACCCAAAATACACAAATTTAAATAGGTTGGAAACTCACACTCAGTTAAGGGTAATGTTGTATATGTGGCTCATATAGAGTGAAACGCACGTTTATTGGTTCATAATAGTCGATACTGGAGCAGAGCAGAGTAATGGTATCGGCCTTGTGACTTTAATTCACTATTTGTTTGTCGGGGACGCTGAATAGGTTGGAGGTTGCTCCTGCGGGTACCAACCTAACGTCTTGTATGGACTTGGACTAGGGTTAGTATAAATACTGATAACATAACTCTATTGTTCATACTGAATTAAAATCTCCGTTTCGCTTCTTGTGAACGTAGACACATCGTTGAATCGCGTTAAATACTTATCTTGATTTTTTTATTTCACTTCTCTATTAAGGTAGGAGTCCTCTTTCTCTAACTAATTATTATTTTATTTTATCCTTTTTTTTGTTGCAAGTCAAACTAGTTTTACATCTCTCTTTAAAAACTTTTATAATTGTCGCGTTTGTCCCCTCTCTCTCTAAATGTAACTTTAAACCGGATTTAATAGGTTATTATACGAATTTTTTAAATAATCTATAAAGAGAAATTAAGGACATTTTCCCCATAGGCTATGTTTGAGCCCATTTTTACCCAATAATGAGTTTTGTAATAGTGATTTTTTTGGAAAATATGTAGTTAAAAAATATGATTTAAAAAAAAAATTGTATACACTTATTTTATTGAGAGAATGTGATATTCACATGAGACCGCTTCAATAAGAGTGAGAGTCGGTGGATTGGATTCAATGGGCTTTGGTAGGTCCTATGCGAAGTGTAACAATAGTCCTCCAAGTCCATATTTGGTTATTCATGTCATGCTTAGACTTCTGTCTTGAATGACTTTTCTTTATAGCAACATGTTTTCCTGTCGTGGTTAGATTTTCAACCAACACAATAATCCTCTAAACGACGTCAATCTGTTGATCTTTTTTTTTCACACATTTGATGTGGACAATAGATACCTAGCTCACTCACGTTCTCGCAAGCTAATTCCAACACGTATAGATGGATTATCAATTGACAGTACCTTGACTTTGAACGTGTGAAACTTTATAACACGAGACAAATATGTTCGGGATATATGAGCGAAATTGCATGATAAGGAACAATCAACAAAGACCAAACTAAAGATCAAGACCAAACATCTAACTTTAATAATAAAAGTTCAAACTAAGAAGGAGATAATGTATAGCTTGTAGTTGATATATTAGCATTATCTCCAAAATGACACAAATGAGGATATTTATAATGTTACATGTGAATTGGTGACCACTGGATTAGGGGACATATGGCATCATCTCTTTAACCGAAGCATCTTATCTTAGGTGTTAATTTTGACTCCACTAGCTTGTGGCGCATTAAATATTCACAAAAAGGGGACAATCACCTTATAACATATGTTGACAAAACTTTGACATTTTTACTCATTACAAAAGTTCAATCAATCATTCCAATTTGATTTCATAAATTCCAGTTCAAATTTGGGTCGTCACCAATCCCAATTGACAGCTTCGAATTCTACTTCGTTGAGCCTCACCACTTCAACAGAACCTCGGATTTAGCTTCAGCAAAGAGACTTCGATAGGGTATTCACATGAGACTGCTTCAGTAAGAGTGGGCTTCGATGGATTGGATTGAATGGGCTTTGATAGGTTCTATGCACTCCACGTGGGATACCGAAGGCGAAGCGTAACAGAAACATTTTTTTTTTAAGAGAGATTATCCGGAATAGGCAAACATTAGGGGTATTGTGTCAATTACTTTTTTCAAATTTGGCCCCTATTTACCAGCTAAACTTATCGAATTGGATGGTAGAGGTATTTCGAAAGGTTTGGACCATCTAGAGAGATTGTACACTTATCGAATTGGATGGTAGAGGTATTTCGAAAGGTTTGGACCGTCTAGAGAGATTTTACACCAAATTGACAGGATAAGAGGTATTCGAAAATAGATTGTGTCAATTACCCTAATAAAAAATAAAAAATAGAATGGGATAAAATACGAAACTTTAGAAGTTGTGTAATAATGAATAATGCTATTTATAGTGAAAACTATCAATAGTCGCCCGACGTGAAATACATATGACAATTTATTGCTTACTGCATGAAGTAATAAAAAACTACCAGATTAATATATCAAATAATAAAATAATATGTTACCTAGGAGATCGTCTTTGCTATCAACAACTAGCGTTACTTTGAATATAGCCACCGTCTTTCATCAATTATACTGCTTGTACAAAGGTGATTTACAAAAGTGTGTTGAGAAAATTAACTACGGATTTTGCCCCCTCCCTTTCCTAGCTAGTTTCAATATGCAGTGTATAGTCTCGTAACTGCAAAAACTTTTTCCAATTTCCCTCCTCAAGTTCTCATCAATGGTCATCAATTCATGAAAATTAAAAATGATTGTGGGAATTACTATCACATTACATTCTCATTTTTCTCCCTCGATCGTCTAAACCGTAAGAACAACGTTTAAGTCACTTCGATATCACTGTTCCTTCACTCTCAAGCTATATTCCACTTGCATAATTCTACTTGAAATACGAATCTACAGCGATTCCGTAGAATTAAACTGGAGTATGAAGGCAATGGGCAATGGAGGGGCAGCAGATCTGTTCAAATCAGCCACTTTAGTGAAAATCTCAGGATTTATACTTGTATCAGTGGTATTCTTCTTCCTGGGCAAGCATTTTTCCGATGGCTCTTCACAGCAACTCGTATATTTCTCCTCCCACCAAAACCCAGATCACGATGAAATTACTGGGCCACCGTCCTCGGTTGCATTCTCCCCGAATCACAATAAATTCTTCAATATCACTTCCCTTATAAATGACACCTCTTCAGCCCAAACGAATGAAAACAAAGAACAGGAAAGCACAGAATCAGTTTCACCACCACCGCCGGCTCCTGCGGTGAAAACGATGGGGGTGGTGGATGAGAATGGGGTGATGGCGGAGGATTTTGAGGTGGGGGAGTTTGATACGGTGGTGGTGGAGAATTGGGGGAAGGCAAATGATACGGCGGATTTGGAGAGTGATGGCAAAGGGGGTAAGGTTAGAGTTAGGGTTAACAAGTTTCCATTGTGCCCAGAGAGTATGAGGGAGTACATTCCCTGTTTGGACAACAAGGATGCAATTAAGAAGTTGAAATCTACAGAGAAAGGGGAAAAATTTGAGCGGCATTGTCCTGAAAAGGGCAAGGAATTGAATTGCTTGGTCCCTTCTCCGAAAGGATATCAAACGCCCATTCCATGGCCACAAAGCCGCGATGAGGTAACTTATTTATGTGAGGATAAGATCTGTTTTTGGTGTTTTTTATTGTGTTGTGCGATGAAGGAAGTGGTGAATTTGGATGAATTTTACAATGTTCTTTTGTGGGAATGCATATTAAATGTTGTTTCTTGAAGGAGTTTGAACTGACACTTTATATCTGTATACAGAAATTGGAATAAGTATTTGCTTTTTCTGCAAAAAATATGATTGACTTGTGTTATTTGTGGGCAAGTTCAATTGTATAAGTAAGATTTAGAAGCAATAATGGGTATAACATGAAAATGTACATGGCTTGAATGAATGATATGTGGTTTTGTAGTGAAAAGCTAAAATTAGGATTGTTATTTGAACCAGTTTATGGAATTGTTGTGGGTTTTCCTTGTAATAACATGCAGGTTTGGTTTAGCAACGTTCCTCATGCACGTTTAGCCGAGGATAAAGGGGGTCAAAATTGGATCATCATAGACAAGGACAAGTTCAAGTTTCCTGGAGGTGGCACACAATTTATACATGGGGCAGATCAGTATCTGGATCAGATTGAGAAGGTGCTACTGTTGGTTACATAAACTGCTAATACTATAATGTAGAGAATGGGCTTTGACTCTTTTAATTTTCATGTTTGTCTAGATGATCCCTGAAATTGCATTTGGCCACCATACCCGAGTAGCTTTGGATGTTGGTTGTGGTGTAGCAAGTTTTGGTGCATATCTATTGTCGCGTAATGTTACCACCTTATCTGTAGCTCCAAAAGACGTTCATGAGAACCAAATTCAATTTGCACTTGAGCGTGGTGTGCCTGCAATGGTGGCGGCTTTTGTAACACGACGATTATTGTATCCAAGTCAAGCATTTGACTTCATACATTGTTCAAGATGTAGAATCAATTGGACTCGAGATGGTTAGTTATCCTATCTTGTATGCTATTTTATGATTTAATCTTAATATTATTTTTTGTTAGAGAATTCAGTGATTTCTACATGATCTTTACATATTGTACCCCAGTTACTTTTCTCTATTTTATAAAATTGAATTAATGTGCAACTGAAATTTTTGAAAATTTTTGTATAATTCTCTAATGAGATTTGGTTCATGGGATTTTTGTGCTCCTTGAAATCAAAGAATTTCTGGGGAACCCAAAAATTCTATCCATCCTTTGAACTGGCAACTGAGATCATAGTAAATGGTTGTAATCCATAAATCTGTAGAGGATTCCATGACCAAAAAAATTAGTTAAGGGAACTTCTCATGTCAATCTCAAAAGTCCAAACTATTAAGTTGACCTTTTAGCTGTACATTTTGTCTTTACCATGTTATCGTAATTTTGGCTCTTAATTATGAAGACGACAATTGGTTTCTAGTTATTGTGGAGTTCAGTTTTCTTTCATGAAAAATCCAAGGGTTAGGTTTTGAAATAATTGTTCTAATTCATATTTCAACATCTTGTTGCCCTGGACAGGAGGGAGGGATATTATTATTTGACGATATCTTCATGTTTATCTATCATTTTTGCCATATGATATTGCTTGTACTATTTTCTATCATTATTTATTTAAACCTTCCCTGCTCAATTTTTGTACTCTTTTTGGTTCAGTGAGAGTTCAACTGCTTTAAATGATCTTTACTGATGTGAAACTCTCATTTTTTCCTTTATCTTTTGATGTGCCATGTCAAAGATGGGATCTTGCTACTTGAGGTCAATAGGCTTCTCCGTGCTGGGGGATATTTTGCTTGGGCGGCGCAGCCTGTTTATAAGCATGAAGCAATTCTCAAAGAGCAATGGGAAGGTAAAAGAACATTGAAAAATCGTGCATAACTCGGAAACCCTTTTGGCAATAGTTTATCCGTGGGAGTCAAACAGTTTCTCATCTTTTTTGGCTGGTCATCTGTGAAAAAGAGCTTAGTTTCAGGAGCTTTCTGTAACTCACCCTATTTCTTGTCAATTTCTTTGAATCTAATGTAATATTTTGAAGTTTCCATATTCTAACTAATTGAGCAACGGCTTCCAGATTGTGTTGCATAATTGAACTTTAGTAGATGGTACCCCACCAGTAGCAAGAGCATTTTGTGATAAATCAATTTCTTTTAATTTTTTCCAGAAATGGTCAACCTTACCAGTCGTCTTTGTTGGAAGCTTGTTAAGAAGGAGGGATACATTGCTATATGGCAGAAGCCCTTAAACAACAGCTGCTATTTAAGCCGCAAGGAAGGAACCAAACCACAGTTGTGTGATCCAGATGACGATCCAGACAGTGTTTGGTATATTTTTATTGTTTTCTGGTTTTTATCTTTTCTGCAAGTGATCGGCAGCTTAACATAGGATGTTCCAGGTTCTTGTTATTTTCTTGTAAATTTATCTGTTTGGTAACTAATGCATATCGGAACGAGTGGCGAGCTGGAGATAGATCTTAAGCTAAAATTGCTAACACAATTGGTTCATTGTCTTCATGCAATCATACTTTTCTATCATGTAATGAGTGTAGAATCGATAGATTCTTTGAAAGTTTTATCAAACTATGGTTGTTCAGCTATATATTCTTCTGTTATGTGGCTGTACAAATGAGAGAGTGTACAAAAGATTGTGTATCGACATTTGTTCTCTAAGCATTAGAATTAGCTTAAAAGCTTGTTTAGGCACAGATTTTTTCAAGGAAAAATGGTTTTTTGGAGAATGTGTGGTTAAAAAGTGAGAAAAGGTCCATAGAGTGCGTGGTTGAAAGCGATTTTGGGCAAAGAGGTTGCATCTGGAAACTATATTTGTTACGGATCATGTAACAATATCTAAGAAGACCCCGGGAAGTCCTGAACTATTTAAAATTGACGTTTCCTACATTGCATGAATATCTGCTACAAAACGAGAGAGTAGTAATCTTATGCTAGCATTTCTTTTATGTAGCAGATTATAGATGTTAAAATATATATATCCAAATTGCAGGACTTTCTTGAGGACGTATCTTAATTTACGTGACTAAAGCTGTGGCAGAAGCAAACTTTTTAGTTCAAGAGCTTGATGTAAATTTGAAAATTGTTCCACAAATTATTGAAAATTATTGTTTTTCTAAATTGCATGACATAAATGTGAAAGAACTACAAGTGGTAACAGTATTGTTTGACTGGTTTCCTAGTAAAGAATCACCCAAAAAGTTAATGGAGATTTGCCAAATATGAGTGTATAATAATTATTTAAAACTTATAAAATGCTGCTCATGAATGTCTTTGCTTCCATTTTATGCCGATGATTGAATTTTGTATCCAGCTGAGTTGGGTTACAGAGCTCTCTTTGTATTTTTTCTGTCCGTCGTACAGAGATTTTTTGTTATTTCTTATATTGATAGATTCTGTTACTGATTATGTTAGGTATGTTGATTTAAAGGCCTGTATAACACGATTGCCTGAGGAAGGATATGGCTCGAATATTACCACCTGGCCTGCAAGGTTGCATAATCCTCCAGATAGGCTCCAGAGCGTACAGGTTGATGCTTACATGTCAAGGAACGAGCTTTTCAGGGCAGAATCAAGATATTGGAATGAAATAATTGAAAGCTATGTACGAGTGTTACATTGGAAGAAGTTCAAACTTAGAAATGTGTTGGATATGAGAGCTGGCTTTGGAGGGTACTTGCTTTTTTGCTTCCTATTTTGTTATGCAGCTATATATTATGCATTGGACATCACTAATCCTCTGTTTGGCAACCAATTTATAGATCAATTTATTAATTAAATCAAAGTCAAACATTAATTTAAATCACACATTCATAACTACTAATAATTCATTATCCACACATTCGTAGGACCCACTATTGTTCCTCTTCTTTTAAATTGATTTTTAAATTTGCTAAACGGATTGAAAGCACTTTGTTAATTTTCACGTTCAGTCTTTTGATTCTAAACAATTGATTCTCTGGCAGATTTGCAGCAGCACTGATTGAAAATCAATTGGATTGCTGGGTTCTCAACGTTGTCCCTGTTAGTGGACCCAATACATTGCCTGTCATATATGACCGTGGTCTTATTGGAGTTATACATGACTGGTATGAATTCGACATATGGTCGTATGATATTCTCATAGTTATTGTTTCATGCTTGTTCCTTATTTTGCATAATTTATGCTCATTTTTTTACATTGTGTAACCCATTCTCACCCCACGCCAAAAATAAATAATAAAGAAATACCTCAAACTTTTAGAGAGGATTAGATATATATTTGGAAATGGACCTTGATGTCTGAAACCTTTTCACAATTTGTATCCCATAATGTTCATTAATTGTATCTGGTGGTTCCAGGCGTGGATTAGTGTTTGCTGTTGTTTAGCAAATGTCATTAGATGTTTGTATATTGAAGTGCACTTCAATTTTCAGGTGTGAACCGTTTGACACATACCCAAGAACCTATGACCTTCTGCACGCCGCTGGCCTGTTCTCCATTGAACAAAAAAGGTACTCTAGTTCTTTATTTGTACATAGACAGTACTTGCATTTCAAATTGGCAATATGGACTCAAGGAATTTCAGAATTCCTCGAGTTTTAAAAGTTGGCGATAACAACTGAATTTCAAATTAATTAATGATGGATGTAAAGTGGTATTTTTTGACATTTCAATTGAAAGCATTTGATATGCAGAGGTTCACGTATCTTTTCATGGATGATCTTGTTTTAGTAGTCCATTTTGTTTTAGTTGTATGCAAATGTTTTGTACATAAGAATTCTTTCTGTTTCTTTACCTCAGATGCAATATCTCAAACATCATGCTTGAAATGGATCGGATTTTAAGGCCTGGTGGACACGTATACATTCGTGATTCTCTTGCTGTTATGGATGAACTTGAAGAGATTGCGACAGCCATGGGTTGGCATGTATCAATTCGAGACACATCTGAGGGCCCTCATGCCAGTTATAGGATATTGACAGGTGATAAACGCCTCCTACAAGCATGAAATTAAAAGATACTCGGGTCCAAATCATACGTATGTAGTTGCAAGAAAGGAATGGTGTTGCTTGTATAGCGGTTAAATTGGCATGACATTTACGGATATCGCAAGAATGTTAAAACCCGACTCTTAGTTACTACTTGGCAATTATAGGATGGGTATAAGTTAGCTTTCTGTGGTCTAACAATTCATAGAATTTTTACGTTTTGCTGTTTCTGCTCGTTTTCTTTAATATTTGGGGAGTCAGTCACTCACTTGTGTAATTGTCAAATATGTGCAAGCTCCAGTTTTCATAGTCGTTCAGCTGAATATTGTTGAACATTATTGTCACCAATTCATACGTTGATGCATTATTTATTCTTACTTAGTTCTATATTTTTATTAAATAAGAAATTTTTTATATTCAAACCTTTATCGCTTCATAATTAGTTGATAATAGCTCAGCTAAGTTTATGATCCATCAATAGTCGAATAGAAAAGCAGAAGACCGATTTAATAGAGTGAAAACCAAAAAAAAAGGGTGCTTGAAAATTTAGTATTCATTAAAACTCAAGTTTAATATTCTTATCTAATTGATATGTTATAATAAATGTATATGGACAAGCTCGATGAACCTAGGGGATGCCTAGGCAAAATTTAGGCGTAGAAACGTATAAAGCGTGGCTAAGTGACAAGGTCAAGTTTTGAGCTGCTTCCGAACGAGTTTTTTAAAACAATGCTTGTGTCCTTCAGTGAGGGAAGGCCCGTATTTTCCGACATTTCTTCGGTTCCTAGTCACATTTCATCAGATCTTCATTTTATTCCATCTCCACAGTATCGAAAAGGAATTTGTTTGAAAGTTTTTGCATAGTTAAATTCTGCTCTTACCGAATTTGGTTCCTAGCTCCGCCATCCTATTGTATGTATTTCCTAAGAGTATAAGCATATAAAACTTTGGTGCGGATTTGAACAGCGGAAGAACATGAACATGGGTGGGACCTTGGCCAAAAATTATATTAATTAAGTTAAACAATCAAATACAATAATATTTCCACCCAACTTTTTGGGAATTTCTGAAAGGAGATGGTTGACCCACCTGCTGGCAAGACCTTGTTGGTTAAAAAAATACGCTAAGAAAAGAAATTTTTTTTTTTCTTTTTTATGTGAAGACTTTAGCCGGGAGTTCTTAAACCACTCTCTTCTGTTTCTTCCTCCACCCCATCAAAGACAGAGAAATGGTTGGTAATTACAGCAACTAAATGAGACTTCCAAAGGGATCGCATTGATCCTATGTCTATATTCAAAATGAGTTTAGATTAATGAATGAATTTGGATCATGCTATCCCTTTGGATGCCTCCTTGGGTAGCTTCAGACTTTGAGATCTGCTATAGCTTTATGATTTTATCCTGCACTGCAAATTTTGGCTGCTGTACACTTCAATATGGGATGCACAGATTGGAGATATATATCATTCCAGTAAGTTCATCACTTCGGTGACAATCTTGATGTGTGTGTGTGTGTGTGTGTGTTTATATACTGCCTTTTTTGTCATATATGAAAATCAAATTGCAAGTTTCAATCCTTCTTCAAAACTGACTTCTCAGCTCTTGCATTTTATCCTAGTTTTTTTCCAGTGTGGTGTATATATATTTCTTGTAAAGAACTTTTAATCAGACACTATCAAGCTTAAGAATGTAAGTTCCAGAGCTCTAACATTGCAGAATTATTCTTGCTATAGATTAGGGGGAGATAACTAAATCAAGAATCTTCTATTTCTGTTTAACTGAGAAAAAAGGTTGTTTTTGAAACTAGTAATCAAAACCACTTTTGGAAGCTCTTTAATCCTTCCACTGGTAATTTACAGTGGATGGCAATGCCTGCATATCCAAGATTTTGCTTGCAAAAAAAACTTGGATATGCAAAGTACAGGTTTGCATATATGAAAAAGGCAAATTCTAACGAGATTTTAACTCTTTTTCTTCGTTTCAATCTCATTAAAAATCCAGTAGTGTATAGAACTGTATTGTTAGCACAACCCATGAGAGTTCTAATTCTCCTTATACTTTTAACAAAAAAATGAAAATGAAAATGAACCCCATACAGAAGCTCACATACCCAGTTATCTGATTTTGTAGTTAAACATACTTATGTTCTAAAAGTGTATAAATGTGTTTCACATTGAGTCATGAATAGATTTTGGCAAGAGAATAATGTAAAAATTTAAACGGAGGTTGTTGACCTCCAAATTTGGTTGGGACCAGCTTGTTGATACATCACGTCTCTTCTTTTTTCCATTTTATGTTATATGCACACTTGGCCACGCATTAGAGGTGCAAGATCCAAGCCTCTCCAAACAACACAGTGAAGTTCGCAATCATATACACTTTGATAATCAAGTCAATAAACCGATAGATCTAGGCATGGGAGATATACTAAAGGAGGTGAAAAGCAGAAGTCAGATTAATATTTGTAGAATGAGAATATCAATTTGACGTTACCTTTATAATATCAATATGATTATATATAGACGAAGAGATTGAATTGAGGCTCGTAGGATGTTTTACACGTGGTCTCAACCCAGTGGCTCACTAGTCAAACTCGATGATGTCATATTATCACACCCTAGACATCATGTCTATAACCATTGGATTGAGATGACATGTAAAACACTTGGCGAGCCTCAATTCAATCTCTCCGCCTAAAAATAATCACAATTATTTTTACACAGAGAGATTGAAGATTATTTATATAGATGGAGATATTGAACTAAGGCTCGTCGGATGTTTTACACATGGTCTCAATCTAGTAGCTCAATAGTCAAACTCAATAGTGTCATATTATCACATCTAGACATCATATGTCTATAACCTCACACGCTGTCCTAGACAAAAAAGAGTGAATTTGACTTATATTCGTCATTACGTAAAATTTCACATCAATCATGCCTTACGTAGCTCTATATTGTCAGAATGCTACTTACACGAGATACCCTAGAATGATCACAACCACCTCGAATATTGGAGGCCCATCTGATACGGCTAAGGGTAGAGTCTCTTCTGATCGCTTATGAGGCAGGAGGTTATACATCTGCAATGACACGAGACGATGGATCATGACCAGGTCGCCTCAGAGTAGAGATGGTAGAGGCAAAACACTTTGATTCAATAGCCTCGAAAAAGTAGTGCTTGCATTGCATTTAGCTTAGATGATAGTTACGTGACATGTCAAGTAGACATAGGCGTAACAGAGGTTATCATAAAAACTCGAACAATGGAAGAAAAATTAATTAATGAAGAACAAAACATTTGGTTTGTGTTTGTATTTTATAACTTTATGCCAATTAGATAGTTTGATTGGTGTATTTTTTTTTTTACTTGAACTTCCTCAAGGTTGCAATATTGTATACCATACATTAGCGCACATTATTATAAAATCTTAAACTTTATGGTCATTTCAAAATCCTTTCATGGTTTTATTGAAGGTATTCCTCGTGAAATATATAATTTATTATTACTGTGCATAAAGAAATTTTTGAGGTCATTTTACTTGGATAATAAATGCATTTGAATCCATATCAGAAGATGGTTGTGAAATATCTATCATGAGAATTTTGGACATTAAATTGTACGAATTGTTTGTTGAAAGAGGGAATATGTAGGCCAAATGTCGGGGTATTGGACTACATAAGTTTGTAGAGGTCCTACGGTCACACAGACTGTCCAACACAAATACAATTAATATAAGTCAGCACAAAATATGGCCCTAAATTCAAACTCTCTTAGCCCCAGCTTCAAACCTTTTCCAGAAATTCAAATTTTGAGTGTGTTTTGATAAAGGCTTTTTTTTTTTAGCAAAATTTTAACGAAAATCGATAAAAGTTAAGAGTTGTTGAATTTGACGCCAACTTTTTAATAACATTTTAAGTTTTTCCGAACCAAAGTCACTCGATGAATCATATTTTTAACGTTTTCATTTATTATTTTACAATTTCCTCCATGCTTCTATGGTTTATAAATATATATTTCGAAAAAAGTAATATTCTAAAATTTATGCAATTTTTTGCTTTTAATATTTATGTGGAAATTGTGTGAAGGGTATAATCTGAAACTGAAAGGCTGTCGTACTGTTTGGATGGAAAAGATGTTTAAATGTCAAACAAACTTGACCTCAAGCTATTGTCGTAAAAGTATGTCGGGTATCATTAATCCTTGAAAACATGAGGAGCTACCACAAATTAATGAATTTGTGGACCATATAAATTTACTTTTCTGTTCCTATGGGCTCCCACCAAAATATGTCGAGATGTTCTACCAACAAAGAATCCCCAATTTCGCAAGGTTGGTTGTAACTTTGTGGGGTTCTACCTAGGTAAAAAGCGTGCGCTCGCGCTCACACACAAAAAAAGGAAGAAGAAGTCAAAATACAAATCAAAATAAAATACGTCTCCCATTAATGATTCAACTTAAGAAACATGTCGTGATAGTGTATTTGACTTTTTTTTAAATGATAGTTCAAATTGATAAAAATTGAATATTCAACTGGAGAATAAATTACTTTCTAAAAAAAATTTGAGTATGTCTTAAACGCTTGTTTAAACTTGATGAATTAATTATTTGATCGGATTTTTGCGTATTTTAGCTTATATATTTCTCGTATAGGCGAAAACTCCAACTTGGAGGTGCATTGAGCTTAAAAGAGAAGTTTTAGATTACAATCGGAGATGAAAAAGAATGAAGTTGAAGAGCTATCCGAAGGTTGGGGGTGTAAATGTAAGCTTTGGAAGACTTGATTGGAGGAATTTACAAGTTTTGGGGAGTAAATTTTACATTTTGGGAGTTTGATAGACTACTAAAAAAGTACAAAATAAAGAGTTGAAAAACTGAAATTGTGTTGTAGGGATGAAAATAGTCGGCACCATGTGCATAACATAGTGTGTGACACGTGTTATGTACTAATAGTCTTATAACGAAGAAGTAAAATTGTGGTGTAAAAACAAAATAATTAAAACAGTATTTAAGCAAAAAAA